CACAGTCAGGGTAAGGACGCACAAGGACATTATCCGGTGTTTATCTTTATCATTGTTATCTCATATATCAGAATTATGATTGATATTTCATTTTTATTATCATCCTCATAATTATTGATATTATTATTATTGGCGCTATAGTTATTGCTGCTTTGTTATTACTATCATTATTGTCATTAATGTCATTATTATTATTATCATTAGTATGATTATTATCATTACTCTTATCATTAATATCATTATAATTATTGTCAGTACTAGTACCATTGTTATTATCTTTATCGTTATCATGATCATTACTATAGTTATTATTGTTATTTTGCTCTATATTTTCACCAGAATATGATAATAGAAACAACGAAAATTATTATGATTATTGATATAAAAAATGATAATTATTATTGTTTACCATCACTATTATCCTTTAATTTTATGAATTTTATCATTGGTATTGGTATTATTTTATCATCATCGTCATCATTATTGTTAACATCATCGTCATCATCACTATAATCAACATCATTATTATTGCCATTATCTTCATTACTACTAATACTAATACCATTGTTATTATGGGTATCATTATCTTTATCATGGATATTATCATCAATATAATTAGATTGAGGTTAATTTTGCATTTCATGAATTAATGTATCAAGCCATTATTAAGCTTATCAGTTTTTGCTTGTGCCAATCAGTCATGAGCTTCGTGCGTGCGTGCGTCCTCCTCCTGCGCCTCCTTCAGATGAATGCCAATCAGGTTGCTGTGCCTGGGAGAGAGCCAATCAAAACGACGTGCCCACGAGGGTATCTAGGGGACAATTTTCAGGAGTGGCTAGGTAATGGTAGTCAGGATTTGTTATAGAAAGGAAGCAGGAAGCAAGAAGGGTCATTTCGCTAGGGCGCAACAGGGGGATGATGACCAGTGCTTGATAGTGTATCCGAATCTAATGTAAATATCTGATATGCTTGTTCGAGATCAGTTAATTAACGTGACATATTATTGATTACCACCAGAGAAAACTCTATTCTTGTTCATATTGTTGTTTTTGTTACCGTCGCTGTAATTAGTAATAACACTATCGTCACTGTTATTAGTATTAACACTATCGTTCATCCTTAACTTTTATTATTACTATTATCCTTATTGTTATTATTATCACCGTTCTTATTATTATCAATACCATTGTTATTATCACTATTTTAATATTACCATTATTGTTATCATTATCACTGATATCATCATTATCATCATTAATGCCATAAACATCATTAGTCCCCATCGTTAAGGAGTGTGAGAAGTTAATCTATTTTTTACACGTAAAATAAAATAAAATAATGTTAATAATAATAAATGGCTTCCGTTGTTAATTTCACAGAACTAATGGAACAGTTTCTTGGTATAATTAGCCTGTTATTTCCTTCATTACAAACAAACAAACAAACAAAAAATATCTGTATTAGACGATTCTATTGTTTACTTCGATAATTACGAGAAAAACGAAAAGCTGTTGGATAAAAGGAGACTTTTTTTTTTTTTCGTTAGTTTATTTATTGAGTAAATTCGTTTGGTAAGAAATTTCTGTTCCTTATTGCTTTGCTTATGAAATACGTAAAGCCGATTTAATAATACTAACGACTAGGGGAAGAATGACAAAATGTTATTTATCTATTTATTTGTTTTTTGTAAAATGATTTAATTATTAGACAGTGCTAGGTATATAAAACTGAAGGAAAATGAATGACTTGAAGAGATAAAAATTTCCTTCAATTCTGTCTGTGTTCGACGGTGATTATGTTTTCTTTCTTTCTTTCTTTTTTTTCTTTTGCAATCAAGCAAAAGGCATATTATTTCTCTAATCTCCAAGATGGTGAAGATGATAGTGGTGGTATTGCTGATGCTGGCTGGACACCGGTCGCTGGCATTTGAAGAGATTGCAGAGGAGCGGCTGTTCCCTCCGTTGCATCCCAATTGCACGCAGGTCAGGGCCATGTAAAGATTCAGCATATATGTCTATCTACTTTGTATCTTTTTCTGTTGGTATACACACACACACATACACACACACATATATATATGTGTGTGTGTGGGGGAGGGTGTTTATAAAATACTATCACAGTATAAACCAAATAAAAACGAAACGTTTCAGACAGGTCAAGAGTTATGTGGTCTGATGATGAACTATGTTAAAAACGAGCGCACGCATTCACACACAACCCTGTATCTATGAATATGCATGCTTATTAATCTCAATAAGCATGCAGTATAAGACACGACACAGTCATATCTCATCGGATTTTTTTTTCGTCTTAGAGCCTGACGGACCTTCTTCTGTTGAGGCAAGAGGCTCAGCTCAACAGAATGGCCGCGGCGCAGGAGGCCACGACGGAGCTTCTGAAGGCGAGTCTTGAGGCGTTGGTGCAAGTTCGCGACTCTCTGAAGGCAGAAGAACACACGCCTGCGAGTATGTACTTTTTTTTTGTTTTACGTGTACGAAGCTCTGATGCCTCAAAACATTACAGTGAAGTATATGGGGAGTGTGAACCGTATTCATGTTGGCAAATGTAGAAAAGGTGTGTATAAGAATGAATAGCTTCGCAGTACAAGAGGTGTATTTTATCGGTATCAATTATATCTTTGACATGTATTACTGATAACCGAGACTGGTCAAATACATTTCTTGTAATTGTGAAGATATTCATTCCCATTCATACCTTTTCAACATATGGAGAGTAATATAACATCCGTCACGATAAAAATAACAATTTTCCCATAACTTTCCTACCTTTCTCAGCCGTCAAGTGCTTATCTCCGTTTACCCAAGTAAGAGACAGCTGTCTCCTGTTGGCGCTTCATGAGTTGCACACCTGGGCTTCGGCAAGACAGTACTGCGGCCGATACGGGGCCGACCTGGTTCATTTCTCGGATGTTAATGCTTACGTGGCTATCCTCGATTACATTAACACCATTAGTATGTGCTACAGTTTAACAGTGTAGTAATACTACTTCTGACAATAAAAGCGCTTATTCATAATGCTTATTCACACTGGTGGTTGATTTAGGAGATGTGGCTGTAGAAAATTACCAGGAAACTCTTACTAAGAAGAATCAGTCTTTGTATACAGCATCCTTTGTATTGGCAAAAATGTAATAGTCTTAGTAAAAAAAATAAAAGGCTATATAAATGTATATATGTATGTGTGTGATAGAATGATAGATAAATATAGATATAACCCATCTTCCAGACCAGCAGAGAAAAAGCGTGAATGTCTGGATCGGCGGCTCAGACGAGGCCGTTGAAGACACATGGGTTTGGATCACAGGGGAGCTGATGCCTCGGGGGCCGCCCTTCTGGGGAACGAAGGATGGGTGAGTGACGCCTCTATCCTTGGTGATGGCTTCCGGACGCATCTATCCTTGGTGATAGGATCCGGACGCATCTATCCTTGGTGTTAGGATCCGGACGCCTCTATCCTTGGTGTTAGGATCCGGACGCCTCTATCCTTGGTGATGGCTTCCGGACGCCTCTATCCTTGGTGATAGGATCCGGACGCCTCTATCCTTGGTGATAGGATCCGGACGCCTCTATCCTTGGTGATGGCTTCCGGACGCCTCTATCCTTGGTAATGGCTTCCAGACGCCTCTATCCTTAGTGATGGCTTCCGGACGCCTCTATCCTTGGTGATAGGATCCGGACGCCTCTATCCTTGGTGATGGCTTCCGGACGCCTCTATCCTTGGTGTTAGGATCCGGACGCCTCTATCCTTGGTGTTAGGATCCGGACGCCTCTATCCTTGGTGATGGCTTCCGGACGCCTCTATCCTTGGTGTTAGGATCCGGACGCCTCTATCCTTGGTGATAGGATCCGGACGCCTCTATCCTTGGTGATGGCTTCCGGACGCCTCTATCCTTGGTGTTAGGATCCGGACGCCTCTATCCTTGGTGATGGCTTCCGGACGCCTCTATCCTTGGTGATAGGATCCGGACGCATCTATCCTTGGTGATAGGATCCGGACGCCTCTATCCTTGGTGTTAGGATCCGGACGCCTCTATCCTTGGTGATGTAATGCGAGCGAACACTTGGCCGAAACTTCCCCTTCCCCCCAATCCCTTGGGGGGGGGGGAAGCTAGATTAATTGAAACTTAGACTTATATATGGATATGTGTATGTGTGTGTGTGATATATATAGATATATACATATATCATATAACTATACACATATATATTTGTATACATGTATACATATTATATGTATATATGTATATATATATATATATATATATATATATATATATATCGATATCTATACCTACATCTATATCTATTTCTATATCTCTCCTCTCTCTATATATATATACATATATATGTGTGTGTGTCTGTATATATATATATATATATATATATATATATATATATATATATACACATACTTATGTATGTATGTATGTATAAATGTGTGTATGTATGTGTGTGTCTGTGTGTGTGTGTCTGTGTGTGTGTGTGTGTGTGTGTGTGTGTGTATGTGTTTGTGTGTGTATGTGTGTGTGTCTGTGTGTGTGTATGTGAATGTATAAAAAAAAATATCACAATAACCCTACTGTTAATAAACAACTAACACTTCATCCCCATCATGTCCCCAGGTACAGACCGCAGCCCAGTGACGGTCGGAGCCAAAACTGTGCTATCCTGTGGCAGCCAGACCAATATTACATGCATGATGTCTCCTGTACCTACAAGGCCGTACCTCTCTGCCAGATATGAGTAAGATGACTTTGATAAGAGACTTCAGATAACAGAAGCGATAGGACTGGTTTTCATTGTTATTGTTGTTGTCTTGTGCCGGTCTTACTAATCTTATTGTCATCGTTGTCGTAATCACCATGTTGATTATGTGAGATATGGAATTTGAAAATAATCCCGAATAACAATGTATGTATGTAAATATATATAATATATATGTATATATGCATATATATATATATATATATACATATATAT